AATAGGAAGACTACGCCCACACAATTGACTAGAATTCTACTTGGCGTTATCTCAACAACAATAATAAAGCCACATCCAATATCATATCCCCCAAGCTAAATCATATGAAAGTATTTAGAGTTAAAAATCTACTTAATATCTTACCAACGTACTTCTATTTCCACAATATTACACCAGAGACCTACCAAGCTAATACCTGCTTTTCTTGCAATAGTCAAGACTCCTCTACACACTGGTTAAACTGTCACAGCTCACAGACCTTGAACCAAATCATAAATTCCTCTATTGCAGAAATAATTAACAAACACTTTAAAGACTCCACGATAACTTAGCGAAAAGCTATAATAGATCTCATTAAATCTCACCCTTCATTTAACTATTTTTCAGCTCTTCCTCTACATACACACTAGCTATATACTACCATAAAAGGCCTTATCTTATCACAGCTACTACAAGCACTCCAGACACTAGATATACAATACAAGGAGGCAGCTGATATTATTATACAAATACTCCTCCACACATCCGCAGAGCTATATGAACAAATCTGGAAACCATACTGTAACAGATTTGCAGATTGGAAAAAGCAACATAACATACCAACAAACCACAAAGCCCCATCTACACAGATACAACCTCCCTATCAACATATCAAAAAGCAAAGAAGAAAGTTTACATATAACTGCTCTTGTGGACTGGCCAACCAACTACATGATGATATTAATGCCTGCCCTCCTAAGAGCCAAGCACAGTATAAATATAATTAATAGTCCTCAGTGTGGATCCAATATAGCATACCAACAAACTATATATTAACTCTTAAATCTAGATAAGTCCTGACTACTCTAGTAGGTTTAGGTCACAGATAACTAGTTTAAGCCTTGGCTAAGCTTTTAGTCTGAGCTTCAATTCTTGCATATAATTTATATTATTTGTATTATACGAAATAAGTTTTTATATAGCCTCTATGTAACTACTTGTATAAATTACTTAATAAAGATATGAGCAAGGCCTCACCTTAAAAAAAAAAAAAAAAAAGATAAATACATATCAACGCTATAAATTCTTTTATCGGCCTCATATCCCATTTTTCTGTATCCAAATTAGTAATTATAAAATTAGAATCTTTATTTTATTATAACTAAGAAAATGGAAGAAATTTGTGAAATTGTACCTTCCCAAAAAGGAACGGATAAGATTAATGTCCATGGTTATTTGATGATAAAGAAACAGAGTCGGGAGGATAAGTTCTATTGGTGCTGTGAAAAAAGAAAATCAAACGAATGCAAAAATCATGCTACAACAGTACTTATTAATAATTTACATCATCTTCAAAAATTTAATGATCATAATCACGCCCCACAAGCCAGCAGCGCCGAAGTTGCAAGAAGTATTGCTCATATAAGAGATCAAGCTCAGGGAACCAGAGACCAGCCAGCTCAAATAATTCAAAATGCGATTGTTAGTATCCCAAGGGAAATCTATCTCTATGTTCCATCGCAAAATGCTTTGTGTGTCCAAATTAAACGTATTAGAAGAGCAGATATGCCTCCGCAACCCCAAAAACTTGATGATATTAATATTCCTGATTCACTTTGTTCGACATTAAGTGGGAAAAATTTTTTAGTAAGAGATTCTATAATTAAAAAAGAGAGAATTTTTTTGTTCACCACAAAAGCTAATATACAACACTTATCTAATTCCTTATACTGGATGATGAATGGTACCTTTAAGACTGTTTCAACTATTTTTCGTCAATTGTACACAATCCATGCATCTGTTGGTACAGGGGATAATTCAAGAGTTCTTCTTTTAGTATATGTGTTAATGACAAAAAAATCAGAATTTTTATATAAAGCACTATTTCAAGATTTGATTGAATTTGCAGAAAAAAATAATATTTTATTAAGCCCCACAGCAATTCTTACAGACTTTGAACTTGCCACAATAAACACATCACATATTGAATTTCCTAATGTTAACAATAAGTGTTGCTTCTTTCACTTAGGACAAAGTGGCTAGAAAAAAATTCAAGAGAACAAACTATCAACTTGTTATGGTCTTGATGAGGATTTTAGTATAAAACTGTATCAGTTGTTTGTATTAGCATTCTTATCATCAAATGAAATTCCTGCAGCTTTTGATGTCTTAAAGGAGAAAATGCCCACGGAAACCAAGGAGGTAGTAAAATGGTTTGAGGAAAATTACGTTTACGGAAAACAAATACGACAAATGCGTAATGGTAATATTAGCCATTTACCACCTCTTTTCCTATCACAAATGTGGTCCATACATAACTCCATGGAAGCAGGTATTTCTCAAACACAGAACATTGTCAAAGCATGGCACTGATGATAGGAAAATTTAGTTGGTTGACCACATGTGGGTATTTATACTATTATTGAGGAATTTCAAAATAAACAACAAAAAGTTGGGCATCAAGTAGAAGCTATTATATGTGGTGCACAACATTAAATATTTAAAAAAGGTACTATTGAAAGAGAACAATAGTTTGATATTATAATTAATAATTAGAAAAATTGTTCATTAATGGAGTTTCTTCGTGGAATAGCATACAATCTTTCTTTATAATTATATGCATCTAGAATTTTTTAAAAATATTAAATTTTAAATTTAATTTTTATTATCAATAAAATTAAAGATTTTTATTTTTACTTTAAAATATAATA